AGGCAACGAACTTGACTTAGAGGTTTCGCTGCCTTGACTGCTGTCTGGCTGGCCTGGCATATTAATTTCACATGCCCCGGCTATAATGAAAAGCGATTTTATATTACCCGGCCGCCTGCGGTCGTTTATAAGCAAGTTAAATGCGCGCGCGGCCATAAAAACTTGACTTATCAACCAACGCCGCCAAACGGCGCAAATGCGTTTTGGTATCGAGCAGCAGCAGCAACAGGACTATGGAGGATTGCACTATCGAGAGGGAGATAGCGGGAGAGTGTGAGAGGGAGATGGTGTGACCATTAACAGAACGATGTCGCCATCATTGAGTGAGTGCGCGAGCATTGCCTTTTTTTATAGCAATTTTCACTTGGTCGTCAGAGCTTTGGCTTGGCCGGGGAAAACCCAGGCCAAACGATCGTACGACTTTATTGGTCAGCTACCCGCTGTGCGCTAATATATAACTATCGCTTATCGCTTTTTATTTGCATTATTTATGCAAAAGAGAAAGATATGTGCGTTTACACACACACACATGCACATTTAAAAATTGAAAACTAAATAAAATTCAAATTCATAGAGAGCACAATTCGACTTACCCAAGAAATGTTTAAGTTCAAACTTTACTTATTTTAAATTTTTTAAGATAAAAAGTCAATAGTTACTTATGCGATTTAAACAAAGTTAAGATTATGTAAGATATGACCTTGAATCTGTTTTATATTCAAATATTTGGCTTTGACTATTACAACTTGGGCATAAGCTCATCTGAGCTCAGCTGTGGCATTGATGCCTCGTTTCAAATGTCTATTATAAATGAATATGATATGTATTTAAGCATTAATTATTTAATTATTATATAGTATTAGCTATTAATACTATAATAAGTTAAATATAATAAGATCGAAACTTCTTAAGGAACTGCTGATGTCTTAGCTGGGTAGAAAGGCAAAGAATTGGTTAAGTGAACTCTTGGCATCAAAATGGATTAGGCTGATCACAATATTCAAATGTTAGCAGCCTTCAAAATGTTGATGTTTGTGTAGCTATTGCCTACAGTATATATACGTTCCGTATATACTTATGTCCGATATGCAATCGGCTAAATGATCGACAACTAGCGCAGCTATTAGCAGTTTGGAGCCTGATTTGTTTAGGAAAGAGATTTTATTCTTAAGTGTTCTCTACGTAGTTGCTTAATTATAATGCTTTAGCAATTTTATATCATAGTTACTTGTAGATAAAAACGTTTGGGTTGGAATGCTGTACATTCGATAAGCATCCTGAGCAGAAGTCTCATTTCAAGGCATGTGCTGGAGACTCTGAACCTATTATTATTTTGTTGTTTCGAAATGAAGTTGCGAGTTCAGTTCTTGATAGTCGATATAGCTAGATCTATATTTAATAAATATGACACGTTGTAAGTTATATATTATATCGATAGTTATTCCACACACAAGCTGCTTATATTATTTATTTAGATTTATTTTTGAAATGTTTTGTAAATGCATTCTCTACTCTTACAATTAAAAAACAAGATTAAAGATCTTGCATATTTTTGTATGGCACTTGGAGCCAATGAGCACTGCTGTCATTGGCATTGAAAACTATTCAAAATATGCTCGAAAATATATCAGCGTAGCATCTTTTTGTTTTGTCTTGCTTTCTCGTGCTGGCTCTGCTTTTCATTGGAAATAAAAGGGAAAAAACAGACAAGAAACGCGATCGATCAACATGCAACGCGGGTCTCGCTTAGATTTCAACACAATGGATCGTCAGAGGTTTCGATTTCAAAGACAGAACGCAGGCACGTAGCTGGTTTCGAGCTGGGGATTTCTGTGACGTTGATGCGCACCTTTGATAAGGATGTGGCCGCCGCTTAGCACACACCTCGAGAAACACCAATAAAAAAACCAAACAGAAAACTAAATAATTCCCGGCTGAGAGCAGAAGAAAGGGAAGCGCAGTTGACACAGCCAATCCTGATGAATAGTTATCGAGCCTCCGAACAAGCTGCAGGTCAAACACAATTATCTGGCTAATCATAACTATATTTCTTAGAACATTTAAAACATTTCCTTAATCATTTAATTTGGTTGTCGCTCAAAATAGTATTAGAGACTCTACTCTGCGTGTCAACTTATTAGTTACGTCTACGTTTTGCGTCTTCATGCAGCGGCTGTGGCTGCGGCTGCGGCTGCGGCTGTGGATCTGTCTCTGACCCTTGGCTTTGTTCTATTGCAAGTGATTCTGGCCACGATGCCAAACGCGCTCCTGAATGCTCTGAAGCTTTTTGACTTTGGCTGCTGGCCAAATCCTTGATTTCTGCACGATTATGTCGCCGCTTGCCCAATGGGCCAGACCGTAGCTCTGAAGTTGTGGAGCAGACTTCCAATGATATTGGCAGCGATATCGAACTTGATCTGCGCATAGTTCTCTTGAAAAACTTGTGTGCCGACTTGATGAATTTTTTGCTCTTCTTTGTTCTTTTATTGACATGCATATTGCACAGCTTCCGTTTGCTATAGGCCGTACTAGCCGGGCCTGGACGGCTGAATTTTGATCTCTTTTTCGGCGCGCTAAGCGAACTAAGATCGACAATTGGCTCCGAGTGGCTTTTCTCTATGCAGCGAAGGTCCGCCAAACGAGGATGACTTTTCGCCTCTGACAGGACCGACAAGGGAAGGCGAGTCTCGTGGGCATTGTTGGCCAGAGCGCGATACTTATTCTTCTGCTCCTCGCTCAGGGTGGACCACATGCGCACAGCTGCCTTGCGCATCTGAGTCGACTCTTTCAAGGACATTCGACCCGTTCCATGCTCATCCAATGCAGTCAAACGCACCTCATTGAGAAAGTTCTGAAATGGAATGGGCGACGCCATATGCCGCATCGTTCGCTCTCGTTCCGTATTGAGCGTGCTGTTGGTAAAGCTCACGTGATGTTTCCTGCCGACGATCGGAAAGTTGCCGTTGAAGCATCTCTTGAGCGCACGCACTATCCAAGACATTGTGATGCCAATGATTTTTCTAACCTCCTTCCGCAAAAATAAGAGTAAAGAATAAAAATGTGTGTATTGCTTACGTTACTTATTAATATTCAGTGATTGTGAAATTTCATTTAAGCAACTATATGAGTGTCATCTCAAATGCTGCTGTGCTCGACCAGCGAGCACAAAGAGAAGCAAACGCAACATTAAGCCCCTAGGCACACAGGGCGCTAATCTAATTAAGACAATGAAAGTGTTAAGACGCCTTCTTGGAAATTGACACTTCGACAATGGTAGGAAAAGCCCCGGTCATAAAACTGGCAGATAGCCGACGCTCTGATAAGAACTAATGATTTAAGACGGCGATAAACTCTCGGATGCTGCAACAAGAGATGCAACAGTCGCCTTGCGGCCAGCTGTGAACAGTGCCCCATAAAACGCAGGTCGCAAACAATGTTAGCACCGAGAACACAAACTGAGTAGAGTCGTTCCATGTTGCTTTATCGCCGCTTGTTAACATTGGAAAGTGTGTAAATTTACACACAACCAACGAATCACCGCAGGTGGAGTTTTTCCATTTCAGTTTTACTTTCAATGATGAAAAGTTCTTTCAACCGTTGATTCTTTGAATGTTGCGAGGCGCGCGAACACACTGGTTCCATAGCCAACAAGTTCGTTCATCGAAACGGTTAAGTTTTGTATGTTCGCTCTGTTCAAATGTGTCTGATGTGCTGCTGTTAAGTCTCTGTTAAATTTGTCTGTTCGTTCAAATCATTGTTTAAATTAATTGAAAAACAGTTTTATTCTATTTCATATGTTTTATAAATTTATATAGTTATATATAAGCTTCATGGATGAGATGCAATTAAAACTTTAAGCCTTAGACGAGCTTAGCTTACTTTATCTTTGTAACATAAATATCTGAGACATAACTATTTTTATTTATACAAATAATAATAATATATAAAGAATTCTATTCCCTATTCCTTAACTCTAATCCCTAATTTCATTTTTGGCAAATGGAAACCAAAACAAAAAACACAGCTTGCGCTCTCAACTATAGCATAGGTTGCATCCGTTCGACTGGAACATGTTCGATGGCAACGTGAAGCGATCGTGGTGCTCTTGCCGATTGGTTGCAACCATTAGTCGGCAACCGCTTGCCAAACTGGTCAGACGTGCAGACGGGTCGAGAGATTAGTTATTGTCGCTGATTGTAACGCGTCTACGATTTATGAATGAGCGGCGCGCAGCGTGAGACAGACATATTCATACGGCCCATACACAAGCGCAGAGAGGCCGTGGGCAAGAACGTTAACGAAATCACAAAACAAACCCGAAGAAAATACGATAAACAAGAAACACACGAAACGATAGCGCAGCGTAAAAGTTTATTAAGAAAGAAAACGTTTGTTTTGCTGCAGCAGCAACAGCAATAGCAACAACGACAACAACAACAACAACAACAACAGCGACGACAACAACTCACCAACTACAAAATCGCTTTTAGTATAAACAAAAAGAAACGAGCGCGGAAATTGCAGTTGCAAACAAAACAAACGCTTCGATTGTCAAGACGCGGCGAACTCGGGTATTTTTCGGCTTGAATTTCGCACAGCCCCGCCCTGCCTTGCCGCCCCCTTAAAACCAGCTACATACGTACATACATCTTCACACAAACGCATAAAAAGCAGGAAAAATTACAGTAAAATATAAAGCTAAATAGTGCGTAAAAATCTGTTTTCTGAGCTATTCGGTTCGTTTCGGCCCCGTTGCATGTGAGTGTGTGTAAGTGAGAGAGAGAGAGAGAGAGAGAGTGAGAGAGCGAAGAAGAGCGAGAGCGACCGAGCGTTTGTTTTTGTTTTAGATTACAAAATTCTCGCATAAGCCCTCAAAGAAAATACAAACATGTTGAAATTGTAATCGAAATCGAAATTGTTATGTCGAAAACGAGCGCAAAACAACAAAGAAATTGTGCGTAGTGTGAAAAGTGGGAAAGAAATTGAATTGGAAAAATTAAAAGTAAAATAAATGAAAATTGCAGAAATATTTCAAATTGGTGAAAAAAAGGAAAATATTGAATTTGTGTTTGAAGCGGAAAACCCCTCTCTCTTTCCAGCTGTGTTTTCCCAACTTTCTTGCACCGAAGCAGCTGCAAACGCGTCTAAAAGGTACGTGTTAAAGTTAGTCTAAAGCAGCATAGGCGACCCCATATGTCGCTTATCATTGGCCGCTAGCAAACATTAGCTTATCTTTGTGCAGCAGCAGCAACGCCAACAACAACAGCAGCAGCCGCAGCTGCAGATGGCAAAGTTAATGCAAGAGACAATTCCTAGAACAGAGAACATGTTAGAAGGCATTTAGTTGTTGTCGCTATGTTTGCAGTTACTTTCACTCCAAAAATAAAAATTAACAACCAAACGAAATAAATAAATAACAAGCGAGAGTGCTCCGTTAGCGAGTGCCCGACTACAAGGTACCCTCTACTCAACAGTCAATTTTTGTGAGATTAAACAGAACATTCGAAATATAATTTAATTTGTAAATTAACACAAAATTGTTTTCTTAACAAAAACGTGATTCATGATCTATTTTTCATTCATAAAATAAAGTTAATATTTATAAATATATTTCATGAAAATTTGGCGAGATATAGAAATCTAATCAGTTGCTAATCTTTGAATTGCTCTTTAAGGTACACATTGAGTACCAATGCAAAAAAATATTTCTCTAATCATAAAAATTATTAAAAATAACTCAGTTAAATCTCATCTTTATTTTCTATCTAGAAGGTGGGTTTTTATACATTGATTTTACCCTCATTTTGTATGGCAACAGGGTATATAAAGAGAAGAAAACAGACTCTACTCAAACCGGCATATGCCACACACATTTACACACACATCACTATCACTATCGCAATTGGCTGTGCCTGCGCCTTGGCTTGCGTCTGGGTTTTGGGTTTGGGTTTGGGTTTGGGTTTGGGCTTGTGGTCGTCTCTCCTTTTTAGTCTCGGCTAGGTTGCTTTATCTTGTCAGCTCGCTGAGTGGCGGTGGCTCGTCTTGGCTGCTCGAGCGACTCCAAAATGATATAGTGATAACCTATATATACTATATACTGTACTTATGTGTTAACAGTTAGTTAGTCGCATGCATTATCTATCTACTTCAGTCTGCTGGTTTCATCAGAGCGATCCGAATCGGAGCGTGCACTCGCACTTGAGACAACGAACTAGAGACATTATCTGGCTGTGTTTTCTACTATAGAAGGGGACAGTTTCGGCATCTCAAATCACAATCACATAAATCACTGCTTCTTGATCTCTCAGGTACGGTGAAGACACGTTAACGTCAAAGCATAAATTTCATTTAGCAAAAGCAAAAAGTTGAAGTTTTTACTGAAAAGATTTTCTAGAAGTTCTCAACATTTCAAGCGGCGACTGTAGTTACGTATATAGAATTATAATACAGAGATAAGGGTTTATGTTTTGTTTATTTTCTCAACTTTATAAATGAGTTGTGGCTGATGTTTGAAACTCTCCGCTGCTTTGTGCTTTGTTGATGATATAATAAACACAATTCTTTAATGAGCTGCGCTTCTCTGATTTGCATCGATATATTTCCGGTAGTATTATGCATGCGTCATCCCCTTTTTATACAGCGCAAGGGAGTTCAGCTCGATTCTTTATTCGATTCGTAGCTATAGAATACAATACCATATATATATATATATATATGTATATATATATTTAGAGTTATGTATTTGGAGTGGCTTGCGCATTTTACACCACCGTCGTATAAACTGGTTTTTTACCTTTTTGTTTATATTCCACATATGCTTATATACCTGAACACATATACCTGAACAATATCTAGATATGTATGTGTATATAAAGCTATAAAGAAACACTTGTGCGTGCGAGCTGTTTAATTTAACGGCAAACTCGAGGTAAATAAAACTGAAACAACATGGTTTGTGCTTATATTACTGTTTGCCCCGATTCGGAAAAATGAGACACAGCTGATAGCGAGCACCTGAAGTATAGCTAAGTGTTATTAGCGAAATCCTTGAGACAGCTTTGCTTCGATTTCGCTTTCTTTTGGTTTTCATTTCACTTTGCACTTGTAGAATATCAAATTATTCAGAAAAAGCTTATCCGACATTGGCAATAGTAATAAATAAAACAAAGATTGCGGAAAAGATATATATAATCTGTAACTATATTCTATTTACTTTTATTGCTATTAAGAGAATTTAACTGCAATTGCTACAGATGTTCTTCAAATCTCCTTCCTTCCATCTGTCTGCTGTAGGGCACCCTCACTGTGTGAGCATATATCACGAGCAGGTTCATCAATTTCAGCTGTGATAAATGTCGGACAAGAATTTACATAAATACCCTACACAGCTGCCAGAGCAAGTTGAGTTGACAAAATGATTTGTATGCGTAGTCTCTGTCGACGCCGACGTCGTTGTTGTCGTCAGAGTTGGTTGTTGTTGTCGCATCAACGAGCGGCGACACTGAGCGCCACCCTGAACTTACAACCCAAACAAGCAGCATAGCTAGAGAGCTACATAGCTACATAGCTACAGAGAAGGAGATGGAGATGGATGCAACAATATTCTAACCAAAAACAGCAACTAATTCCAAACAATGTAAAGTATTATTTATTTTTAACTGAGGTCATCGGCGACGTCGTCGTCGTCATGCCTCCAGTGAACGAATGTTCGCCTCTGCGCTCTCCTTCGCTCCGAGATTCGTGTGTTGTTCTTATTTCGAGTTAATGTGCTCGTGTTGTTGTGGCTGTTTTTCAGATGTTGAACTCGAACTCTCACCAAATTATGCCACACAACGTTGCCTGCCCTGAGCGCTGAGCGTTGAGCGCAGAGAGCAACAGATCCAGACCCGAGACCCGAGACCCGAGACCCAATGCTCATTGCTATAGCTGAATGGTATGGCCAGAGCTATTGCCAGTGCCCGGTGGCGTTGTGGAGCTCTGGCCGGGGCCAACAAACATTATTTGAAATATTTATGCTTGACTTTTGCGCCTCAATGACTTTTGAATTGCCTTGCCTTTGGCTGCCAGTTGTAACACACACACGCACACACACACTTGGACACACATGTGTGTTAGTTCTGATGCGTAGCCTTTTGTATGTGTGTATTCTTGTTTTTCTTTATGTTTTTTATGCTCCAGGGCCTAGGCCTAGCTACATATGCTGCCTCAAATTGCAAGCAGATGCATTCGTGCAGCAGCATTTTCTCTCAATAACACCCGTGGAGTGTTGAAACTTTGTCAACATCTGGTTAGGCATGTAGAAAAAAAATTATTTAAAAAAAAAGGTTATTATGATCATTTTTTGGCAGTTCTATAAAATTTGTTATTGTTTAAAAGCTCACTTGATATAAATGCGAGATAAAAAATTAAAAATGTATTTCAATATATTTTTAACATTTTCAAATTCTTAAAAAAGTCTTCGTTATTTTAGTATATTATTTATTGTATTTTTTATGTTTTTTATTTTTATTTTCAAAATAATAATTATTGAGATCTTAATATTACTTTCTCTCTTTATCGTAAGCAAAGTCAACTCTGGATTCAGCTTTGTTCTGAATGCTATTTATCCCTCGCGAGTTGCGCATTTCTCAAATAGTTATATATTTGTAAAACTCTTCAGTTTGGAGCTATTTCCATTGGCTCGACGTTAAATAAATAGTTTTCAACTAGGGAAACGAACAGTCAACAACTAATGCTAAAAAAACTAATTAACATGTGAAAATGATGCAAGCGAACTGTTATGAGCTGACAACACATATACAGATGTATATATATATATATATATATATATATATATTTGTATATATATAAATCGCGGCGGGAGGCTTTCGGTTGAAGAACCGAAGCAGAGGAAAAAACAGCCGAACCAATCAACTGGACGCACTCATTAAACACACATTAGACTGCATTTAATTTGTCAATATTAGCTCGTCTTCGAAGCGAGCCTCGTTGGATGGCTGGGAGAAATGCCGTGATCGGTTCTCAGGCCACACTTTTCTTTTCTTTTAGCCATTGGAAAGTGAGGCAAGTAACGTAACAGCAATAGCTCTGCACGACACACGACAGTCTGACAGATGGACGGGCGGACAGCCACACAGCATGTCTGGCTAAATGCCTGGGTCTCTATGTTGACCTTTTCACAGCTGGAATCATCTTTCACATTACTTTACAGTTCTGCTTTTGCTCTCAGACTGGTCTGCATTGCTATACGCTGCGCCGCGCTGCTCTAAAGTTGGTTTCTGGTTGCTGGTCTCCCCTCCCTGGCTGCTCCCCATACATTTGACGGACCATTGATCGTGCGCTTGTCAATTTCTGTCAGTTGCTTGTCAAAAAATTTGTTTAGCTTTAAAATGCAGGGAAAATGTTAAACAAAAAACAAAAACAGAAATAACCAAAATAATAATAATGAAAACTACAAACACGATTTTCATGCACAACTAAAGCGCAACCACCAGCACCACCGCCACCACCACAACCACACAAAATTGACTGACGAACTGAGTGACTGACAAACGAAGCTAACTAAATCCATGTGGAAAATCGTATTGTGAAAACACCCCGCCTGCATAATTAACCTTTTGCCAAGCCATTATGCATATTTGCCATAACTCCAGTATCTCCATGCACACATCCCCCAACTAGCCCCACCTGTCTGTGTACTGTTTACAGCGTAATTTGTTGATGTGCACAGGTGTATATAAAGGTAAATTTTAAAATTCAAACAATCACAACAACCGTGCTACGCAATCAACCTCAAATGCTGACTAATGCTCATCTGCGCTCAAATAAATATATATATTTAGACTCCAAATAAGGGCCGTTCTGTCGGACACGTAGTGTCATATGGGCATTCCCTATATGTGGCGCAGTTATTTGCCCGTTTGTCAATAACTGACACGTCTCTAGTGTAGGTGCCACAATTTTGATCGTGGGGTGTTGGGGCTGGCTCGCATTGGCGCCAAATTTAAAAAAATGTTGGCTGCAAATTAGCATATTTAATGATCTTCATTATGAAATTAAATTACTATTTATATAAATTTTCAACTGACAAAAAAGTTGTCCCTGCTTTATATATATATATATATATATATATATATCATTTAAATGTTATG